ATTAAACACCCTTGGGCTTTGATTTCTCAAATTGAGTTTTGAATCATGTTTAACTATGAGTTTACATGTGTTTTCTGGAAATTTAGCCCAAGAGGTCGAGTTTTGATGCTTTTGAACTTGGTTTTGAGCTTGAAGGTGCAATCTGGAATTTCCAGATTTCGCACTTACGCTCGAGCGGGGAAAGTGACGCTCGAGCGTAGAATGCGAGCATCCAGCATCTCTGCACTGTTTTGCAGTCCGCTCGAGCGGAGGATTGGGCGCTCGAGCGGAGACATGACTCAAGCTCGAGCGGGCGTCGAGCTTGAGACATGACTCCGCTCGAGCTCCCAATTCTCCGCTCGAGCGGACTGCAAAACAGTGCAGAGAGATGCTGGTTGCTCGGATTCCACGCTCGAGCGTAACTTTCCCCGCTCGAGCGGCAGTGCGAAATCTGGAAAACCCAGATTGCACCTCCAAGCTCAAACTCAAGTTTAAATGCATCAAAACCGATCCTCTTGGGCTCATTTTCTGGAAAACATTTATAAACACATAGAATAACGTGGTTCAAAGCTCAATTTGAGAGATCAAAGCCCAAGGGTGTTTAATTCAAACCCAATTTCAAATCATTTTCAAGAACAATCTTCAAACATGACATGCATGATCTTAAATCATTTTCAAAGCTTCAATGCTGTTTCAAAAGAGCTCAAACCTTCAAAAACAAGATGAACTCATGGACTTAGACATAGTTGTGAACATGCATGTAACATTTTGCCATGAACTCAACTCAAAATCCAACAATACTAACATGCATGCAAAGATTGAGCTTCAATTCACCATTAATGGACCAGTTCATGACTTAGTTCTACAATGAAGCATGAACCATGTAAGAACTAGTTCAAACACAAAATCAAAAGGATGAAATTCATACCTAGGTTCCTTGAATGCAAGTTTAGAGGTTCAAATATGCACTCAACCTTCAAGTTCTTCAATTAGCAAGAAGATTCAAGATGGAAGACAAGTTCTCTCACTCTCTCCCTCTCATGGTCGGCTAGAACAAGAAGAAGGCTGAGGAAATGTTGTTTTAATCAAATGCATTAGGTGTAATAAGGCTCAAAAGGTTTGAGGTAGTGGGCCACTACAAGGCTAGTTTGGTAAATAAGGCAACTATTGCAATTTAACTCATTTTAATCTAATTTAATCATACCTAATCAGTTTTCAGATGAATTTACCATAAAATCACATTAATTATGAGGATCATTAAACACCAATCAATTTTGGATTCGGCCGCCGATAAGGCCTTCAATTTGCAATTTAAACATACACAGGAACAGATAATCAAACAGTCAAACAGATAGAATACAATTTAACACACACATACTCAGTCAATTCGATTCCAGTTCTCAGTCAGTCAGTTCAGTACCTTAGGCAGTTCAATTATCAGTCAAAATCAGTCGCGGTTAACAGTGATTAGCAGTTAATCAGTCATTAATCGGTAAACAGTATGAGGGTTGTTACACGTCACCAACACAGATACAGTCAAAAGGACTAAGCCCTAAATACAGAGTATAGAAAAACTATTCAGACAAACAGAAGAACACACAAAACTTAGAAACTTGTTGCCGAAACATTACAGCATTTAAACTTGGGAACCTCCTCGGGAGGCGCAATGGTTGACTGACAAAACAGATCTCTAGGCAGTCGTCACTGAGCCTAGTCACGCACCTAGTCACCTACATACATAAATAATATAATGAGTTGGAGCCCGATGAATAATAACATAGTAAAGGTTTTAATGAATGATATCCATAATAGATTCAAAAATCAGAGTTCAGAGTCAGAAACAGATTCATATTCAGAATTCACAAATAGTCATACGTGGTACATCTATTAGCGCTAACAGAACAGATGACCCGTAAAGTGACCAGATGACCCATAAAGGAACGTATACAGAATAGATAACGGTTATACTTAACTAGTTCCATAATGGAACCTCTAGTACCAGGTAACAGATAACAGACATGATACTAAAGATGACACGAATACATTTTAGAAATTCAGACAATCATTCATTCAATCATAAGGTAGCATTTCAGAAAACAGATCATATCATTTCATTAAGAAAATACTTAAAATTGAACATAGCTTTACAGAGTTACTACTCACAAATAGCTCCAGTAGCAGAATGGACAGAGCAAACAGATCAAATAGTCTATGGCACGTGACCTACACAAATACATAACGGATACACATTGAAACATACACTCGGAAAACGCTTAACTCATTTCTTTTTCAATCTTGGTGTGTTTATAATCCTTATCCTCGTTATTATATCTTAATTAAGGCTTAGAAATGCCTAAGATGCAATAAGGATGCCAAAATGTAAGTTGAAACACTTAGTCAAATTTTCAAAAATAGGGCAGTTCGCTTGAGCGCAACTTTAGTCGCTCGAGCGGACCCCTTGCTCTGCAAAACTTCTGAGAGCTCTTAGTTTACGATCGAACGCAACTTCCTTCACTCGAGCTAAGGTCTAAAACAAAAGGTAGTCGCTCGAGCGCAGGTTCTGTCGCTCGAGCTAACCCCCAAACTCTGCAAAAGTACTGGAAGCTCGCATTCTTCGCTCAAACGCAAACTCCACCCCTTGAGTGAAGAGCACGAATTCTGAAATTTTCAGATTTGCTTCCAAGTTCAAAACACAATTTCAATGCAACAAAACTTGTTCATTTGGGCCAAAACTTTGGAAAATACTTAGAAACTTATGTAAAAACATGAATTAAAGATCAATTCTCATAATCAAAGCCCAAAACCATAATAATTCTTCCAAATCCAAGCTTGAAACTTGTACTTAACACGTGAATGGAATGATTTGAATTCAAAACTCCCAAAACATGGACAATGAAATGTTTAAATGTGAAATCATGGTGAGCTCTCAAGACTTAGCAAAAATATACACTTGAATATATGAATTCTTGGAAATTAAACTCAAAACTTGGTGATTTATGTATGCATGCATGGATTGTTCCTCGTTACTACTTCCTTAGCTCAATTCATGTATGTAATCTCTAACTTCTCTTGAATTCACATGCAAAGTAGTTTAATTTTAGAAAATGAGAGTTAAATTCTTACCTAGAATCCTCAATTCCTTGAATCCTAGCGATTTCTTATACAATTCTTCTAATTCTCTTCAATTCGTTAGTAATTCTTCCTTTTACCCTTGTTAGATGATGGTCTCTCTCTCAAGAGTAGTCTCTCTTTCTCTCTAAGATTCTCTAGGTTGTGTTGAGCTCAAAATAATGAGCTAAGCTCATGGTTAGTGCATGTATAGATTGAATTAGCTTAAACTAATTAAATGTTATTGGAGCTAAGTTCAATTATTTTAATAATTAATTTATTTTAATTATTTGATTCCGAATCAAAATCTAATTAAACTTACCATAAGGTTTTAAAAATTTTAAATAACACATATACGTAGTCAATTTCATGTTCAAATGCCAATAAGACCTTCAATTCGCATATTGAATCAGAAATTCAGACAGATAGTCTTATAGCAGATAGATATAAGCACAATTAACACAGAACACATGCAATTAATATAGAATTTTCTCTTAATTACGCATCAAGCATTCTTAATTAAGGATAACAAGCTAATCACAGATTGGGGTTGTTGTAGCCTTCCCCCTTGAAGAGTTTGGTCCTCCAAACTCGAATTACTTTCATTTTGGAAGAATATCAGATCTAGAGGGAACAAATTAGAGTATCTCTTCATCATATCCCCTTCGGTCTCCCAAGTCGCATACGTCCCTCTATGATTTTGCCAATCTACTTTTACCAATATAATTTCTTTTTTTTTTCTCAATATTTTGATTCGACGATTCACAATTTGGATTAACCGTTCTTCATACGTGTAATCGTCTTTTAGAAGTACATGTGTTGGTTCAATTATATGTAACAGATCCCGTAAATAATCCCGAAGCATCGAAACACGGAAAACGTTGTGCATATTTTCCATGACTGGAGGTAAGGCTACTTGAAACGTCACCAGATTAATTTTCTCAAGGATTTCATACAGCCCAATGTACCGCGATGCTAGTTTGCCTTTAATCCCAAACCGTGTTTGCCCTTTCATAAGAGTCACTTTGATAAACACATGGTCACCAACTTCATATTATCTGTCTCTGCTTCGGACATCCGCATAATTCTTTTGACGACTCTGTGCGATTAATATATTATCCAAAAACTTAATAATTGATTAAAATATTCATCATTCCGTCAAATCACCCAAAATTGTTCAATCTGTAATTTACCAATCCACTATTCAGGCCTCGTTTGGAAACAATCTATTTTATTAATTTTTTGCCTTTTTACGAAAAAATGTACAAAAAAGTAGAGAGAGTAATGTGACAACTTATAATAATTTTTTGATTTTTTTAACTAAGACAAAAGGTTACCAAATGAGACTTCAATTTATAATTTTACCCTTAAAACCATCCCAACCATGCCACGCACCCGTGGAGGTGTGTAGGGTTGAAATTTTCAATTTTTTCATGAAAAAAGATTAACAACTCTAAATTAAGATATGTAGACCCATAAGATGAGTCCGGATCCTCTAGAGTAACTCTCTAGAGTGATCTCCTAAAGTGGATGATCGGACGGTTCAGAATAGTCCTCACCAAAACGACGTCGTTTTGGGGAGGATTTTCAAAAAAAAAAAAAAAAAAAAAAATTTTTTCCCATTTTCAAAATATCAGGCATGTTTCCCGAGGTATGGCTGCACATGCGAGAATTTCCACCGCACGTGCGATGAGGGTTCCGCACATGCGGGAATGGGCCTCTGAACGTGCGATTTCTTTAGGGCTTGTTTGGCTGCGATGGATGGGCTGCACGTGTAGGAATGGGCCTCTGCATGTGCAAGAAGCATTTTTCTCGCACTTTCTGCATTTTTTCTCATTTTATGCTCGCATGTGTCTAACATGATTGACATTAAACATGCATGAAATATATAATTTCATAGGCAAGTAGGGTTAGGAGATCCTAAATATCGGCCTCAGTGTTGCACAATTTGGCCTCAATCACATCTCCAAACTTACAACTTGCTAGTCCTCAAGCAAGGAATAAAGAAAGATAAAAAACGAGGCCTGAATAGTACATTGGGACGGTGGATTAATTGAGTGGCTAAGGTTTCCTGAGAGTGCCTGACGGAAGAAGGAGAAGAAGAAGGCGACGACGATGATGATGAGAAAGAGCAATTGGGGCCAGACAAACGTGGTCGTCGATGATGATGATATCCGTTGGTGCTGTGAGTGGGAAGTAGAAGAGTCCGTATTTTAAAGACAGTAGTCAGGAAGAAGGAAGAGGAGAGTAGCCTCTGATTGCTGCCGCCCAGGAAAAAGGTACTCGAAGCAGCCGGCATCGCTTCCCTTCCCTGTGTTTTCCTCTCCGTGGTTTGAGGATTTGGGAATGAAAAAAAAAGGAGAAGGAGCAAGGTCCTCTAGAGTATTTTTTTTCTAAAGTTTCCTAGAGTGGTGCATTGTGTGGTTGAGATTTAATGTTGAAAAATTGATGTGACTTGTCATTCAATCTCAACCACATAATGCACCACTCTAGGAAACTTTAGAAAAAAAATACTCTAGAGATCCTTGCTCCATTTCCTTTTTTTTTCATTCCCAAATCCTCAAACCACGGAGAGGAAAACACAGGGAAGGGAAGCGATGCCGGCTGCTTCGAGTACCTTTTTCCTGGGCGGCAGCAATCAGAGGCTACTCTCCTCTTCCTTCTTCCTGACTACTGTCTTTAAAATACGGACTCTTCTACTTCCCACTCACAGCACCAACGGATATCATCATCATCGACGACCACGTTTGTCTGGCCCCAATTGCTCTTTCTCATCATCATCGTCGTCGCCTTCTTCTTCTCCTTCTTCCGTCAGGCACTCTCAGGAAACCTTAGCCACTCAATTAATCCACCGTCCCAATGTCGTCGAAATCCTGGAAGAAAGGGGTTTGCTCGAGACCCTCACCAGCGACAATCTCAGGTCCGCTTGTTCCGACCCAACTCTCCCTCCCCTCAGGGTCTACTGCGGCTTCGACCCAACCGCCGAGAGCCTGCACCTCGGGAATCTCATCGGCATCATCGTCCTCTCCTGGTTCCTGCGTTGCGGCCACAGTGCCGTCGCTCTCGTAGGCGGGGCCACCGGCCGCGTGGGAGATCCTTCTGGAAAGAGCCTCGAGAGACCCGAGCTCGATCCCCAGACCCTGGAGAGGAATACGGCTGGCATTGTGGACACCGTGCGCCGTATTCTGGGTCGAAGAAACGCCGCGGCGGAAGAAGATAGGTTCGTGGTCCTGAACAATTACGATTGGTGGAAGGATGTCAAATTATTGGATTTTCTCAGGGAAGTGGGGCGATTTGCGAGGGTGGGGACGATGATGTCCAAGGATAGCGTGAGGAAGAGGCTGGAGTCGGAACAAGGGATGAGCTACACGGAGTTCACGTACCAGCTGCTGCAGGGATACGATTTCCTCTACCTGTTTGACAAGGAAGGTGTCAGAGTTCAGATTGGGGGAAGCGATCAGTGGGGTAACATTACCGCTGGGACTGACCTCATTCGCAAGATCCTGCAGCCAGCGGAGGAGGGTGCCGCCTATGGCTTGACTTTCCCCCTTCTCCTCAAGAGCGATGGCACCAAGTTCGGCAAGTCGGAGGACGGTGCCCTCTGGCTCTCCCACTCCATGTTATCCCCTTACAAGTTCTATCAGCATTTCTTCTCTGTCCCTGATGCTGATGTTGTCCGATTCCTCAAGACTCTTACTTTCTTGAGCATGGATGAGATAGCCGAGCTTGAGAGTAAAATGCAAAGACCGGACTACTTGCCCAATTCAGTTCAGCGGAGGCTCGCTGAGGAAGTCACCCTCCTTGTCCATGGCCAAGAAGGTTTGGACGAGGCACTCAAGGCAACTGACGCTCTGAGGCCCGGTGCTGAGACCAGATTGGATTCTGAGACCATAGAACGGATTGCAGGGGATGTCCCCTCCTGCTTGCTGCCTTACAACCAGGTTTTGAACTTGTCTCTTGTTGATCTTTCAGTTTCTACCGGCCTGCTCGAGACCAAATCAGCTGCCCGCCGCTTACTGCAGCAAGGAGGCCTATATCTCAATAACAGCAGAGTCACTAGCGAGGGCAAGAAGGTTGAAGCTGAAGACATTGTGGGCGGCAAAGTTCTGCTCTTATCTGCTGGCAAGAAGAACAAAATGGTTGTAAGAATATCGTGATTGTTCTTATTTGATGGCTGTTCACTGTCTTGGTTTTTTTTTTTCATCATCAAAAAAAGAAAAAAGTTAATTATCTTTTAAATTCTAAATCTTTGATTATGCAAATTGCAATTGCATACATTTTCTTTTTTACTCTTAAAGGAGATCTGATTACTGGATTCCTTGCTAACATATTGGGTTACACTGCAGAGACATTTGAATGAAGTTCTTTTTAGTCCCTTCCCACAAGTTTAACTTGTGTGTGTATGGATTTTGACTTCGTGGTGAGAAAAGAAAGAGAAACTTTAAATCACTGAAATAAAAAACAAAATTTGTTCACTAACATTCTTTTTTTCTTACAATATATTTATCGTCTTTTGTACTCTTTAATAAAATCTTGTGTGCTCTTATTTAATTGGAGCAAATTGGGCATCTTAGGCATTTTTGCTACTCAAGCTGCATTTTTTTTTCCTCCTACGGACTTGGTATGACAATAGGCATTTTGCTTTTTTCCAGTTTCCCTCTCCACTGGTAGATACCATTTCCTGCTAGGCATAGGTGTTCCTTGCAAAATTCATATGAGTTTGTTTCTTCTGCTTTCTTCACTGCTACAGCCCTCCATTGATCTTAGGTATGGCCTCTCTCTATGTATCAGTTCTTCCCACTGCCGATCTGAAACTCAGCAAACCCCCAGCACCTCCAACACTTCATCTCCCACTCTCTGTCCTCCACCCAAACCCCTTCCTACGTGCTATTTTTCCACAACTGAATCCTCCTTCCACCTCCAACTTTCCCTTGCCGCCTCTGCAACTCCATCACCAGCAAACCCCTTGGCTTTATCTTTTCCACTTTTCTTTTCTGGTTTTGGTCGAAAAGGTCTGATTCATCACCTAGGTTCTGTTTTATGTTTTTTTTTATGAATTATAGTGGTTTGTGTTGTGCAATGCACACATTTGCTTTTATTCTAGAAAGATAATTTTAAATTTCTGCAAAGTAATACATTTCATTTTCCTGTAAACCTATAATACATGTCTAAGGTATATTGGTTTGGGTAGCAAAAATCAAGGTCTAAGGTATATTCATTTGCCAGTTCAAAAAAAAAAGGGTATATTCATTTGGGTAGGAACGAAATTGAGTGGTTGGAATTTGGAAATAATGGTATGAGGTTCAGGAGCTATTGCGGTTAGATAGCTTGATATACATTGTTGGGCCCATTTCCTAATAGCTTAGGATTTTGGAAAAATTGGTGACTTAACATGATATTAGGGCCTCGTTTGGGAACAGGCTAATTTAGTAACTTTTTGGCTATTTGGCTAAAAAAGTAGGTAAAAAAAACTTATATGTTTGGGATGACTTTTTGGCTAATTACGAAAAGATGTGCAAAAAGTAGAGAGAAAAGAGAATCTTTGACTTTTTGGTATGAGTTGTTGGCTTTTTGACTAAAAAGGTAACTTTTTGACTTTTTGGCTAAAAAGGTAAGTCCCCAAACGAGGCCTAGAATTCTGGTTAAGAGAGGTCTTGGGTTCAAGTCTCTCCGTTAGCAATTTGAAATTATGTCCTTGTTTGTTGGTTCTCCTTTTATTTGGTTCTCTGTTTGTCTCTACATATGCAACATGGGGTTGCACGTGAGGGAGGGTGTTAGATAGCTTGATATACATTGTTGGGCCCATTTCCTAATAGCTTAGGCTTTTGGGAAAATTGGTAACTTAACAATTGCATGTATGGTGTTGCCTTTGTTATCTTTTGTTTTTGGAGTTTATTTATGGATGTGTATTAGATTGTTTTTGAACAAATGGTCACTTTTTTCTCTCATGGTAATTTCTGGTTTGGAGGGTTGATGGTGGTTGTTCACACATTGTTCATTTGAAATCAAGTGAGTTTGCTTGGCTCCATTCCATGCTTATTATTCACACATTGTTTTCCATTGATGGTAATTTTTGCTTTACAATGGTAATGCATGATTGATGGTTATTGTGTGTTGTTGTGTTTGGTTGCACTGGATTATGCTATTGAGAGTAATATACAGTTTAAACCATTCACATTGAACAACCTGGCTTTAACTTGCCAAATTTGAGGTCAAGCTTACTTTTGAACAACCTACTTTAACTTGCAAATTATGTATTGTTTGCCTTTTTTCCCTCCCTATGGAAAGTTTAGGCATTTATTTTTGTAGTTTAATTTCTTATGTAATTAATGCAATCCAAATGCAAATCCAAGTTCAAATAGAGAGAGAAAGAAGACAAATGCCCCAATTAGGGGTAAAACCCCCAAGGGCTAGAGAGAGAAATCAAGTTCTACTCCAATCACAATGTATATTTCTTTTAATCCAAAACTACGTATAATGGTATTACGTCACCTATTTTTATAGACTACCACTAGGCTAAACCTAATATGCTATTTAATAGACACTTAACCTATTTATTCTACTACATTAGACTTTCCCTTTTTAAGAAATTTGTCCTCAATTTTAAGTAGCAACTAAGTGAGCTCAATGTAGGAGAGGAATAGGCGTTGCATCTCATCTCCATGCGCAACACAAACATAGCACTCGCCTGTGCTACATGGACTCACTGGTTTAGGGCAGAGTACTCATGTTGACATGACATGACACAGGTGCAAGTGTGAGATCTATGTCGGACTCGGCTTTGGTTTCTCGGACACGACTGACAAGAGAGGAGTGAATAAAGGTTGTTGAGAAACTTACAGTGGTAGCAGCACCTTTGTCACCGGAGGTTGCAAGCCTCTGCTCTGTCGTCGCAAGCCTTTGTTGTCGGAGGTCGCAAGCCTTTGTCGTCGAAGAGCTGAGAAAAAATGAAAAAAAAAAGAAAGATTGAATTGAGAGAAGCCTTTGTCGTCGGAGGTCGCAAGCCTTTGTCGTCAGAGAACTGAGAAAGAATGAAAAAGAAAGAAAGATTGAACTGAGAGAGAGAGAGAGAGAGAGAGAGAGCTAATAAAAGATTTAATATATATATATATATATTTTTTATTCTCTATTTTGATATTCAATTTCAAATCTGAGACTGAGATATGTTCCGTCTTCTCATGGGTCGAGGTCTTCACATGGCTCTAGAAAAGTTGAAAAATGTGTATAATTATGATAAGAGGGAATGGATATACACCTAATAATTATATAGGGTAAATTATCAATAGATCCTACTTTTGGAACTTATTACCCATTAAGTCCTATTGATAAATTTACCAGTCTCTTGTTTTTATGAATAAATATATCAACCATGACCTGTAGGTAAATAAGTCTAGTTAATAAGGCTGATTGGTTATTTTAGAGATATTTAATTTTTTTATTAAATATTTTATTTCTTATTTATATGATATGTGAGACCTACAAAATATGACAATGTGAATAAAAATAAAATAGAAAATAGAAAATTTTTATTATTGCATAATAATTATACAAAAAAATTTCAAAGAATGATGTGGTAATATTATTATTGTAAATAAATGTACCTTTAATAGTGCTTTGTTTTGAAGTGAATGGTCCATAATGAACCACATCATTATGTATTAATTTTTTGTTCATATAGCATTACTATTTTTAGTACATTTTATTTTTTAGTTACAATATAGAATATCCTATTAATATTTCACGTGCCGTGTCCTCATATCTGGATTTAGTTTTTGGATACTTTTTAGTCGAGTCCCCGTACCCTCACTTTTTAGGAATAGGCGAATCTAACAGTTAGACATATTCGTATCTGACACCCGCACCAGAGTCCATGCAACATAGGCGCTTGCAACTCATCCTTCCTTGAATACATGGAATTACATCCTTAGCTAGACAACCATAAGGGCAAATTGACAATCCCCATCATGCTCATACCATACTCTCTTGCTAAAGCTTGGACAAACCTCCCGTAGTGGAGGTCCGGGTTGAGGCCGTGTCACAATCGACTTGTAACGCTTGGCGTTGTACCCTTTTAGGGAATAAAATTGTGCCTTCATCACTACTAATAGGTTTTGGTGAGATGGTAAGCGCATGATCCTACAGAGCATCATTACCAGCAACGTACTCAACTCAAGCCAACATCTTATAGAGGCATATAGAAGCAAGAAACACACACACACACTCACAGACACAACTTCAAAGAAGCTCTTTGAAGATAGCCTCAAATAAACTCTTTGCAGCTTTCAAAAATATTCATTTGTTTCATGTCAATTTGTTGATTTTGAGTTTGATTTGGATTAGCATCTTCTTTTCTTCACCTAAATTTGGAACATAAGCCCTATCACCACCTTTCCGTCAATCTCACGCCTAGTCGAACAAAGAATTCCAATCTCAACTGGTCGAACTTCAATCTTCAACAACAGGTTGCGAAATCTGCCAAACGAAGGTTGCAAATAACTTGAGATGCACTAGAATGGACTACGACTATGAACCAAGGTTGTTGCTGACAAAATCGAACATCCAGCAATTCAAGGTTGCAAAGACCATCTTTCAGACTCAGTGCGTAAGGTAACATCGAACTAGAGAGTCTAGTTCAAAACCAAACCAAAGAGAGTGATCTAGGGCAAAATCCCAACTGTGAACGCAACTAGATCACTAATACCCAACCAAATCGAAGAAGAGAGAGACCAGGTTTGGAACAGAGAGTCGAAAGGCCAAAGCAATCAAGTACGAAGTCCATATCAATGAGAAAGACTTATGATCAATCGGGAGTACACCCTTGCTAGCAAAAACCCGTGAACGATTTGCGAAATTGATATCCAGAACAGAACCAGATTAGTTCCCGACTTCAGACTCACGAAGAACTCCAAATCGCAAGTCAAAAATCGATGGAATCAAAAGAACAAGAGTTGTAACTGTGCATCGAAGCTTCAGAATCGATTTGAACCGACTGGAATCAAGTTTTCGGGTCCCACCCAAGACTTTTGGGTCGGTTTCGGATCTTTACCCAAGACTTTCGATTCGATTCGATTCGGATCTCACCTAAGACTTTTAGATCAATTTAGGATCTTCTTTTGGGTGTCAGATTCGAGTTTAGACTGCAACTAGGGCTGCGAATCGAAGTCAGATCTTTGATTATGGCTTTGGATCAAAATCAGAATCGAGTCTCACAACTTAGGGTTCACAAGTCTTCACGAATCAACCAGTGGCAAAGTTGGAGCTTCAGCATGAGTCGTAGACTAATCAATGGCTCAAACTAGGTATTCTGAAGGTGTCGAACTTGAGTCAAAGGAACCAAATTGCGATCGCGATGTGTCCAACAAACTTTGAATCGATGTGTTCTTTGATTCTGAAATCGCAATGTGAACAGTAACTTCGAATCGTGTGTAATCACGATGGGTTCGTCGCTTCTAGAAATGGAAGTGAATTTCACAGATTCTGGGTTTCAACTCCGAAGGAAGCTTCCAAATTCACAAACAAGGATTTCGAATATAACCCAGGTATTATGAACCATAATTGAGCTTAAATCCTTCTACAACTAGTCTAAATAAGGTGATGGGGTGGTCAAGAACTAGGTCAAGTTCTCAGGCTCTAATACCAAATAATGCAATCCAAATGCAAATCAAAGATTAAATAGTGAGAGAGAAGACAAATGCCCAGCTAGGGGGAAAACCCCTAAGGGCTAGAGCTATGAAGCACGGGTATGAGTATTGGTACAATACATGTACGTCGATACGGTAAAATTTTTTTTAAAAAAAATAGAGTATAGGTACGGCTTAGGCTTAGTACGTTTGTAAAAAAAAATATTTATTTTTAATTTGGAGTAATGCAAAAATTGATTAAATGGTTTAATTTGTTAAGATCCAACCTACAAATAACATTTGATGCCGAAAATAAATGTATAAACCAAAATTAAATGTCATTATATTAAATAACTTACAAATCATAGTTTAATTTTAAAATCTTGCTGAGCATAAAACTAAAAATAAAAAACAAGTCTAGTGAAATGAATTTTATCTCTGTAGTAGAAGAAAATATTATTTCGATGGAGGTACGGTACGATACGACTTAGATATATATTCCAAAAATTAAGAAAAAAAATTTGAGTACGTGTTTCGTGTACCCGATACGTATGCAGAAATACCATACGAAATACCAGTATCCAGTATGGGTACGACATGTTTGTTGAAGTACCCTTGCTTCATAGGGTTAAAGAGAGAAACCAAGTTTTACTCCAATTACAATGTATATTTGTTTTAATCCAAAACTAAGTACAATGGTATTACAATACCTATTTATATAGACTACCAGTCTACAACTAAGCTACAACTAATAGGCTATTTAACAGACACTTAACCTATTTATTCTACTGCATCAGTAATGTTTAGACGTATTATTATGAACAATGAGACTGACCTTGACAATGATCTTAGCACTATAAGAGTCAACCTTCTCAAATCTCCATCAAATAGTATCCACCGTGGAAATTATATAACTGCGAGCCATGAAAATTTTTAAAAAAATGAAGTTAAGAGTAAATAGAGTTGGAGATTTGTAAAAATGAAAGGTTAAATGGTTTTTATTAGCATAGACCATCAAGAATAGGACCGTTGAGAGAATATAACCATTTAACAATATGACCGTTGAGAGAATATGACTTAAAATTATGATCATTGAAAACAATGACTGTTACCAAATGCAACATCAACACGCATGTCAACCTATTTGGCATGCCATGAAAAATGTAAGCATTTTTTATTTTGTGTGTGTGTTGTGTAGTATTTTTGTTTTGAAAATTGTGTAGGTTAGTTTAAATCACTAGCTAAAATAAAGAGTCCGTTGAAGTATATATTAGGTAAATAGTGAGGCAAAATAATTTTAAAAAAAGGTACTTTTATTTGGCAAAATACGTAGCAGTATTGAAGTTATTCAAGCTTCTCAATTTTAAAATCTTAATGGATATTCTTAAATGGGTTTGGTTTTAATTTTTTTGCCAGTTATTTTCACTTTTGTGTGCTTTTACACAGCGTTATAGCTCTTTTATTAAGTTTTTTTTTTTTTTATTGATTTTTTGAATCGCCTTTTTGCATTTTTTGTTAAATTATTTTAGCCATGTATCACTTTTAAGAGAGCTTATATTTGTACACCACATTTTTTCATAATTCACGCTATTTTTTTTTTTTTTTTTTTTTTTTTTTTTTTTTTTTAATTACGATTGTTCCTCAAACAAATGATACATAGCCCCTGTTGCCACCACCAGCCACTGCCACTTCCTTATCTGCCCCCATGATCGTAACCCCCACTTATAAGCCTTATAGGCCTAATGCTTCTATGGTTTAAGTAGTTTTACTTTGTGATCACTGCTATAACGTAATAGGATATCATACAAAGCACTTGAATGCCATGCATGCCTTTGTATGGGGTGCCTCTATTTACTCCACAAAAATATCGCATTCCATCCTCTAGTGTTTTCTTTTTATACAATTTTTTGTCTACATAAAATTACTTGAAACTCTCAAACTCTAAAATCTTAATTTCTCTACCAACCCAACCCAACCCCTCCCCACTACCTACCACCCATTGTTGCCGGTGCTACCCCTTCTTCAGCCAGTCGTTCCCTCTACTTATTCCCTTCACCATTGGTAGAAGGTTGAAGAGGGATTGGTTCATGGTGGTGGAGGCTGAGGGGGTTGGTCACGGTAGTGGGAGGAGGAGTTGTTTCTATGGCTGGGGAGCTGGGGAAGGGCTCTAATGGTGGAGAAGGTGGTGATTGTGGAGAAGGGCTGTCATGAGGGAGTAACCAAAGCCAATTGGTATATGGAAATGAGTTCTTCAGTAACTTAGGTGTGCTCCACGACTTATCTTATCCTATTAGGAGATTCGTAGTGACAACTTTTTGGTCCTAACATTATACTTCATTCCTTTGCATCTTTCTTTTTCATTCAGTTTAATTTCAACGCCACCTCTTGAAAGAGTTCCCATAATAACCCATCTTTCAGCATACCGTAAAGAGAAGGTAATATCAGCAATCAAGTATGAACTGGACCATCGTGGACAAGGTATCTATGTACTGCCTCGTATCAAAGGTACATATTTTCCTGTCATTTTCAATACAGTAATAACAAAATATCATTTTCTTTGTGTAGGCAGTATGATACATGAGTATATTATCTAATATGCATGCCTTCGGATCACAACTTACTGTTTAGATGGTAAAAAATAAAGGGTAAATTGCAACCTCCCTTGAGGTTTGGAGAAAATACAATAAGCTCCACTAATTTGGCATAATTACATTAAGCTCCCTTAAAGTTTTATTTCACATAACACTTAGCCCCTTTTTTATCAATAATTTGTTAGTCATAAGGATGAAAAAATAATATTGTCATCTCTTTTACATTGAAACGTATATTTTACTTTGTTTAATTTAATGTTTTCACACCATCCGCATTAGCTTCAACCCTTTAACCTTACTAAAAGGGTGGTCGGTGTGATTATACCGAAAATTGTGGGGCTTATTAAATTTTCTCCAAACCTCAAGGGAGGTCAGTGTAATTTACCCAAAATAAAAAGACAGACAACAAAATCAAAGTTGACTTGTTAAAGTTGAAAATCAATAATTGAGGATTCTGTAATTTTCTTTCCTCCGAGTACATCTCTTGTTATTTTACATTTTTGTTTCTTGATTTGAATTTCACCACCATCTTCAGGATTTGAAGAAGTGATGGAATTTCTCGAACAGTTATTTCCAAATGTTGAAATTGCTATTATTGACATAATTTCATATATATGTATATATATGTATTTTTATTAAGGATCATAAATTTGGTATTTGAAGTTTTGGAAACTGGATTTTGTACGTCTGAATTTATTTTTATCAATAATAAGCTATTTATACTTATAATGTTAGTTACGGTTGTCCTATGAAGCATCGACATGGATAGTTGATGGGGTCTTGAATCTTGATGTAATTACCCTTAAACTAATTAGTATGAAATATGAAAAGATTTCATTACCAAATGGGTGTTGGTTCCCTAGTGGATAGACTAGTGGTGGAAGCAATATTTGGTTTGCTGTTGTCTCATATTTCTAGTCTTTGATCATTGCAAAGTGTAGTTGTATATTACACTACCCCATCATTCATGGATCAACTTTGTACAGTTTTCTGAGGTGGTATTTCCATCATTCATGGATCCACTTTTCTTGGACTTTGCAGGGTCCAAACCCACTCTCATGTAAGAAGAAAAAGAATTGTGGGCATGCAAAAGCAAATCTTGTTTCAGAAAAGGTGAGTTATTTCTGAAATGCTTATACTCTTCAGTCCTCCATTTTCTTGTCTGCTTTAGATTATTGAGGACGATAATTTGATGATTGGTGATCCTGGTCTTACTGTGGTTGATAGCGTTTCGTAGTGAGGTTGACATCGTAGTGATGCACAGAATTGTTTTGACCTTTGGAGCAATACAGATCCTTGACTGGGGTGCACAATGCTTGTGGCATAATATTGGAGGATCTTTATTTTGTTTGTTAATGTTTCGGAATTACTTGTAAAAAATAGCTTCTGAATTACGGAAATGGATTCAATCAATGATACAAAATGAGTTATAACTGTGATATGTTTAGATTAATGTACAATATTGTTTGCAAAAGCAGACTTAGAAATGTCGATTAATAACTGATATTTGGAATTGTTTTTTTTCTTTCTTCTTTTTTTATTGGTTCTTTAGAGGGAATAGATTTGACAGTACTGTGATGTAGATGTGGAATCTACCTACCAAAAAAAAGGATCATAGATGTGTAATCCATGTTTATCAACTGTAATGTATTTTAGCCTTAGCATACAATTATTAGTTTAATTAGCTAGTTGTATCTTTGCTTTATATTAAACCAGTTAGTTTCATTTATAGATTAGCACACTGTTTCTATGAATGTGAAACAGATGAATTATACGATTTTCTTTTATTTTAATTTTTTTAACTGGGAAATTATACTTTTTCACCATGACCATACACCTATTTGAAGTTTTTACCAGTGAGAAAGTTGCTAAATTTGCTTTATTATATAGATTTGTTGACTTCATGTGATACTTTCTTCATTTTTGTGTTCAGTTTAAAGATCAATATTTGTGGAGCTAACGGGAGATGGTGTCTGTGAAGCCTTAGTCAAAGGATTCAAGGCTTGTGAAGTGGATACAAAACAAAAGAAGTTTCAATTCAGAGGAAGGGTCAAAACCTACGGTTTATTACTTGGTGCTGCTGTTATAGCTGTAGGAGGATCCTTTGTCAGGTGCAAAAAAGAAGTGGGTGAGACTTGAGTTCAAAGTGTAACAGGAATGTAATTTATGCTGATGGGGATTTTAGTCATAGTTTTTTGTTAATGTAGTTTTGGGTTTCTCCCAAGTTCTGATTAAGCATGATGTTTGCACCATTATAACTTCAAATTCGGCTTGATGTAGTCTTGAACTTGGATCATCAATCTCTTGTTTTTCCTTCTTGCTTTCCAGTTCCTTTTAAATTTTTACAGGCAGAGGTCTTATAATTTTGTAGACTGAAGCAACAGTAATCAGAGTGGATTAAGAATGCCGTGATTCTTTTGGCCATAAAAAGTAGTTTGCTGCGATTCTTTGGGTCATAAAAAATTGAATCAAGAAGAATGTTGGATAAATAATCTACTTGTTATTTCATTCATTTGATTTACAATATGTGAAACCTGTCGGATTATCCATCTTTTGAAGCTGCAAATTGTGCTTGTTTGGAATAATTTACAAAAGTTAAAAAGTTATTAAAAAAGTCAAAAAATTCATATTATTTGGTGGAAGCTTGTGGGGAAAGCTTTTTGCCCTTTGAATTTAACTATCCAAGAGTCAAAAAGTTAAAATTTAAAAAGTCAACAAGGGTGAATGTTTATTTTGATTTTATTACAATATTTTATTACACATCTTTTAATAAAAAGTCAAAAAAAAAATTCAAAAATACATATTTTTTTTTTTCTACTTTTTTAGCTAAAAAGACAAAAAGTACACTTCTATGGTATATTTGTTGGCTTATATTTCCTACAAAGGAAAATACCATAAATGCCAGCGTGCCAGCAAGGATTGAAAAATCGTTACAGATTAAATTCAAGCCAATTATTAAACGATTGCGTTGACGGTTCTTTTGCCTCAACAAAGAGGATTTCAAAATTGCTAAGTGTAGAGAAAAGAAAAATTAAAAAAAGAATGAGAGAGACGGAGAAAGACGATTGAGTAAACAATCAAAGTAATAATTATTTACCTCTACTCCTATGCTTCGAAAAGGAAGTGCATAAAATGCTTTGAAAAGGAAAGGTTGAAAATAAATACTTAGAAATATAAATCTACTAGTGTATGCCCGTACCTAAAGGCACGGCGTAAATAATGTTTTGTTTGAATAATTTTCATTTACTATTCTCTCTTAAGTTAGCAACATTGAGAATCAAATATACTGTCGCGACCCAAACTCCCTCCTATATGTTTGGCATCGTAACCGGCCAGTAATCCGTGATTACCGAAGGCCTGTTTAACAATACTGACAATAATACAATGTAACGGGGCTGGCGGAAGCCAATCAATAATAACATACATCGTCCAATGAGCTGTGAGGACTTGAATGGAGATAAACTTTAATGTACATAGCTATGTTCATAACCATTTATGCCCATAAGCATATATATACAAGACAAAGCATAAGTTAGGGAATCAATCCCATCATCTGGAACAGTATTGACGTTAGTCTTAAAACATTCTTTTCACTTAACAAACTTAAAAGGGTGAAGTCGAGCCACCCAAAAATGCCTTGACACATGCTAGTTCGAAACCTCGCAATGAGGGACAATAGCTGGCTTAACAAAACAAGGGTTCGAGTCGACGCCTCTAGCTTTGATCCGATGCCTGGCCACCTACATATATATAATAAACAGTGAGTTAAAGCCCAGTGAATAACAAATATGTAAAGAGGTTAGGAAGGATGTCCTTTACAGTCTTTGAAACAATCGATTAGCATTAGAACACTTCAATCACTATCATTTGTCAATCAATCGATTCAATCAATCATATTCTTATAGGTCATACGTGGTACATCCAATAGCAACAATACATTAGGTCTTAAAAGACCAAGCAATCAATTGATGGCTATCAAACAATAACACTAGTTCCAAGATTTGGAACTGACAGAGATCTCTGTAACAATAGCAATATCAATAACAATAACGATAACACTATGCTATGGATGCCACGAATACAATTCAAAAGAGGATCATCATTCAATCGATAGAAAGTAACCGTTTAGAAACAATGTAATTTATCATTCATAAAAGAAATACAATTTGAACATATCTTTACAACATTGGTACTCACAATGGGCTCCTCGGTACACGTACTAATGGTTCAGCGTCCGACCTATAAACAAATAAAGTCAAGCACAACACAATTACAATTACACACTACAATCTATTTAATTCTGGATGCCACGAATACAATTCAAAAGAGGATCATCATTCAATCGATAGAAAGTAACCGTTTAGAAACAATGTAATTTATCATTCATAAAAGAAATACAATTTGAACATATCTTTACAACATTGGTACTCACAATGGGCTCCTCGGTACACGTACTAATGGTTCGGCGTTCGACCTATAAACAAATAAAGTCAAGCACAACACAATTACAATTACACTCTACAATCTATTTAATTCGGTTACTTGTTTGTCTTTCGGTTTCACTCATTTGATTCTAATTTTTCATTCGGTTATTCCTATTTATTTTTCTTCCATTCCTTTTAAATATGGATGACTAGTATTAGGAATAAATAAGATTATTAACCTCCAATTAAAATATGTTTAGCTATGTATTAACCAAACTAATTAAATATAAATAATCTAATTATAAACCAGTCCTTATTAAATTCACTAATTACACAATCAAGCCTAAATTAGGTTTATACACATTAAATTACAATTATTCAGTCATGTTTAAATTACTGAATCAGAAACTCATAAATATGCACATTTTGCAATTTCAACTCCATTTTCAAGCAAATCAAGGCTCAAATAATTAATTTCACATTTATTTTCATAATCTTAAGCCTAACTCAATTTCAATTGAATTTAATTAATTCTCAATTAAGGCTTAATTTGACTACATCTAATTTTATGAACCTAAATCAAAATTTTAATTGAATTCTTATAAGGCTTTAAATATCAAATTAAACCCATTCTTCCATTTTTGAAATTCAATTTCATGAAACATCCATTTACATGTAATCCACTCCCAAAACTCAATTAATCATGCTGGAATTTGGGTTAAAAACATCAATAGAAATCAAACTTGAAATCAACTCCCAAATCTTCCAATTTGAAGAAAGATTAAAACTTCCATGAAATTATAAAACATAAATCATGTGTTGGGAAGCTTCAATTGTAAAACCCACGAAGAAATCCTTTTGCAACTTTAGAAATTCATGAGACTCATGCAATAAATTATTTATAAAACGATAATATCATGTATATAAACAAGATTAAGCCATGCATGTTGAGTTTTGAGGATTAAATCATCTAATTTCTGATCATTTTTTTTAATATTATTTATGGCTATATATTCTCAACCCCAGTGGCGTAGTCAGGAATTTGATGGAGAGGGGGCACAAATTAATGATAACATCAGTGTGTTTGGTTTAAGTTTTTTAAAAATTGAGTTTTTTGATTTTCGTGTTTTTTTGTTTTTAGTGAATATTTTTAAAATTTTAAACATATTTTTTTTTACTTTTTTAGATGAATTTTACATAGATGTATTTAAAAAATTTGTGAAAAAATATTTTAAAAAATTAATAAATACATAAAAATACAAATAATGTACAGAATTTTCATATATTTTTTTTGTATTTTTGGTATTTAGTGAATTTTTAAAAGGTTTTTTTCACAAATTTTTTACTTTTTAGGTATATTTATGTTAGATATGTCTAAAAATTTTAAAAATTCAGTAAAAATAAATAAAAAAAAACCCGAAAAACAAGAAAGTAGAATTTTCTAAAAAGTATTTTTGGAAAACTCTAACCAAGCAAATTTTTTATTTTTTATTTTTATAATAAACAACAATGAGATATTACTAAACTTAAATATTAAAGAGTCCATTTGGATAAATGCGAATTTTAAATTATAGGATTTGAGATTAAATTTTATATAAATATTGGGGAGTAACTATTTATAGGTAGATTGAAAAATTAAAAAAGAAGATAAGTTGAGATAGAAATAATATATTTTAGTAGTGAAATTCTATAAAACACACCATAAAAAAAGTGTCTATCATATGTCGTAATTATGATTTTCGTGGGCTTTAGTTATGACATATTATAGTGTTAGATATAATTTAGTTATAACTTCTTGTAGTTCTTATTTTGGCTATTACTATATATCAAGTAATAGTTAGTTATGACTCATTTTGATATTAGTTATGACTTATTGTAATTTTTTACTTTTTTTTATAATTGAAGATGTGTTACTTGATTATAATTTATATAGTGGTCATTTTAGTTATGAATGGAAAAAAACATATGGAGGACAAACTCTACATGTCAAATGTACGTAACAATCCAATAAATTTCATATATCTTCATTGAGGTTAATTATGTTTGCATGTCAATAATTATAGACATCACCATTATATTGAAATTTTTATAAATAATAATATAACTTATCATATTCTTTTTACTTTCAATCAAAATAACCATTATTGTTCTCATAATTTTAAAAATATCATTGACATTTCACTTTAAATAATATTTTTATAAATTTTTTTATTTAAAATATTTTCTTTATGTTTAAAAAAAAAAATCCAAAATCCCAGGGGGCACGTGACCCCCCTGGGCCTTGAGTGCCTCCGCCCTTGCTCAACCCCGATTTCTCTCTATGAATTCTTAATTACTCATGAATTCCCCCTTCAAGTTTGAAAACCATGCAAGAAAACATGAAATTCAAAAAATTGACATTTCACTTTAAATAATATTTTTATAAATTTTTTTATTTAAAATATTTTCTTTATGTTTAAAAAAAAAAATCCAAAATCCCAGGGGGGCACGTGACCCCCCTGGGCCTTGAGTGCCTCCGCCCTTGCTCAACACCGATTTCTCTCCATGAATTCTTAATTACTCATGAATTCCCCCTTCAAGTTTGAAAACCATGCAAGAAAACATGAAATTCAAAAAAACATGCCATGCATGGTGAATTTGCATGGTGAATTTGAGAGTTAATTTCCTTCAATTCTTGCCATGTGTGCTTATAAATGCTTTCTAGGGTCAAATACAACACAACTCATCCTCATTCAACTTCAATTCCATGAGATCATGGGTGTATCAACCCAATTTTAAGAAATGAGAAGAAGATTCTTACCTTAAATGGTTAATTGGAGAAGATTTGCTTGATTTCCCTTCAATTTTCTTTGATTCTTCTTCTTCCTCTCTTCATTCCTCTCTTTCCAGAGCACTCTCTTTTCCTCTCCAGATTTTCTTTCATTCTCTTTCTTCTTGTTGAGTCAAACAGGCTCATATCCATATATATATATATATACACATAATATTAATTAAATCAAATTAATT